CCTGTCCAGTGCTGGAGTCCTTCAGGGCTGGCTCATCAGCTCTCTTTTCTTCTCATGATTCTTACTGGGAAATCTCATTCTTTCCACGACTCCAGTCATTACCATCAGACTTCCAGACACACCTAGAAGTCTGTGTCTCTGGGCAAGAAATGGGAGGAGGAAGAGGTTCCAAAGTCACCCTGAGCTCGGTGGCAGGGGCACAGCAGCAACAAAACCAGCAAGAAGTGGCCACTGTGGCTGTCACAAGGGAGCACTGGGCCAGGGAAGGCCCCCACGCCCGCATGCGTCCAGTCGATCCTGGCACCTAGGAGGAGGGACCTCCAGCTCACCTCCCGCGGAGGAACCTGGGGCGTGAAGAGCCGAAGGGCCTCCCCGAGCCACGGCAGAGCAAGGCTGAACCCAGCAACGAGGCCCCAGGCCCTGGGCACCAGCCTGTCACCCACACAGACGCCGACGCGTGTCCAAGTCAAGGACATGGCCTGCAGCACCATTCCAAGGGCTAATGGAAAACGGGAGGCGACCTCATGCCCACCAGCCAGGGACAAGGAGCCGGCTGGCAGCAGAGGGCTGGGAACTATCCTCAGGGAAGCKCCCAAGGCCTGGACAGAGGGACAGTGGTGAGTCTACACAGCAGCACCGAGCGCGACGTGGACCCAGCCATGAGAGGGACCGCAGGAAGGGCCGCGGAGCACCGGCTCGTCTGTGCCACACGCTGGTTTTTCTTTTACAAAGAGAACATTCACTGTGTCGCTTTTACATAATTTTAACTTTAAAAGTCATCGGCCAATAAGGTGATGACACACACAAGGACACACGCTGTGTGATCCCCACGTGAGTTTCCGGAGATGGGGGACCACAGAAGGGCAGAGTCACGGGCAGGGCGGGGCAGGGGGGGGTCTCACTATGGTGGGTGAGTTTCTGACATGTAAGAAGGACGGCCCCTGGAGGCCGCTGGACACCGTGGCACACGGTTAACTGTGCCGCTCTGTGCCCTGCACGCTGTTGGGAAGCGGCTGGCCCAGCGTGGTGTCCCGTGGTGAAGAGCGTCATCCAGGACATACGTGACTCTCCTCGGAGCTTCTTTTTCCAGGTCAACCTTCCAAATATGACACGAAGCCACTGGACCAGACCCCAGGGTGCACGGGGCGGGTGCCGTGGGGGAGGCAGGGGTCCTGAGGCCCTTCAGCCAAGACGCACTGAGCAAGGCACAAGGCAGTCCTGCAGCTGCTGCCTGGCCAGAGGAGCACCAGGCCCCACACAGGGGGCACCTCCACCCTCCACTGTGCCCAGGGCATGGGACCCCCAGGGGCAGAGGGCAGTGGGGGTCTGCACATCTGCAGCATAGGCGTGGACAAAATGACCCTGGCCTCCTCCAGGGACTGCAAAGGTTAAAGTGATAACAAACCAATGTGTCTTGACACGGCCTGGATGTCCCCACAGCCACCGCCCTGGTCTAGGTCCCTCAATTTCCAAAACCACTACTCAGATAGCGCCACTAGCCTAGATGAACGTCCCCCTTCACTCACAGCACCCTGGAGCCTCGGAAGCCCATGCGCCCCTAGCGAACCCCAGGGCAGCGCAGACCCAGCCACCTGGCAGGGCAGGCAAGGTGGGCATCTCGAGCACCGCCCAGRCACACTCAGCCAAAGGCAGCAGGCGGGCTGGCAGGCTCCTCCACCGCCTTCATATCCACACTCCCCTGAAACCTGAGCTCCAGCTTGACCTGGTCCAGAGCACCTGTGTCCAGGCACAGTTTTCTCAAGGAAAACCCAAGTTTTATCTGGGAAAAAAAAAAAGATGAATAAAGCCTGGAATTCTGGTGCCACTTGAGGGACAATCATCAAACAGGCTATTTTTTCATTTTTCCACAATAGCCCAGATCTGGAACATGCACAGGTGGAAAAAGAAAATGTGGTTGCTGTACATGGTGGAATATTACTCAGTCCTAAACTATAACATGTCTTTATCATTTGTAGCAACATTGATGACCTCAAGGACCTTAGGTTACATGACATGAACCAGGCAAGAAGACAAATATGGCTCGTTCTCATCTACGTGTGGCAGCTAAGAGTAGATCTCATGGAGGCAGAGCTGGGAGGGAAGGAGGCAGGTGGAGGGAGGACGCTGATGGGTGCCGGGTGCCACTGGAGAGTATGAGGAACCTTTAAAGTTCTATAGAGCACAATGGGTGATTGACAACTATATATTTCAAAATAGCTAATAGGAAGGATTTTGAATGTTGTCAACACAAAGAATAAATGTTTGAGGTGCTGGATCTTCCAGTTGCCCTCACTTGATCACACCTGCATGCGTGTGTTGAAATAAATCATTTACAGGTGGGGAAACCAGGGCACAGAGAAATCAAGTAACTTCTGCAAGGTCACACAGCCTATTTGTGGCAGCACCAGGATTTGAACCTGTGCCCTAGAGTCCATGTCTTAACCACTGGGATCCACTGCCTGTAGCTTGAAAGATCAGCCCAGCAGGCTCTCTACGTGAGCCAAGGAGATGCTGTTTCACAAAGGACAAAGTTCCAAGGATCTCTCTTGGTCCAGGAGACATTGCCTTTGTGGTAAGAGGGTCATAACCTTTCAAACTCTCTTGGTGTGTCACAAGATGGACCCCATCTCCARCCTCGTGCAGCCCCCAGCCCCAGCTCCTTCCTTGCACCCACAGGACTCTGCTAACCGRCTTTTCAAGACCCAGTGAGACCTAGACGCCCCTGTTTCCAAAGGCTACTCAGTGCTGGAGAAGAACCAAGGTCACTTCTCCTCACCCTGGCCCTGTGCAGCACTCGGGTGGAAACGCAGCAGGAGGCGTGAGCACGGCCCCCGCGGCCCCCTGCCCAGTGTCCACAACACCGAGAAGAGACCTCAGCAAATCTTGTGCCCAGCCAGGCTTGGATCCAGGCTTCGCTGGAGCCCAACGCAATGGGTCACAGCCATTACAGAGGACAAGGTTCACACAGGCAGTCCCCTGGGTTAGGAGAGGGACACCTTCCCTGGGCCTGGAACATCCTGAGGAGGCACAGCGGGGACAACAGCCAGGCGCACGTGGTAACGGAATGACCGACCATCGTGTAGAGCCCCGTCCAGGACTCAACCTTGGCCCTGTGGCAATCAGCCAGGGTGGCAGAGCGTGGGCAGGCAGGTCCCCTGGCTTTGTGCCTCTGCTCCCAACTCACCCAGACAGGGAAGCCACAGGTGCTCCCCCAGCCCGTCACAGAAGCTGCCACTTCCCCTGGCCTGCTCCACCTCCCGGGCCCGAGCCTCCACCTGGGCACAGGGGGCTGCCCTCCTCTCCTGTCCGTACGTGCTGCCCACTCCTCTGCCACCTTGGAGTCTCTGCCAAGCATGGAGACAGTGGTGACTCCCCACAGGGACCAGCTTTGAAGAGTTCCCTGCTTGCTTCATTTGTTCCCACCATCTCCATCTCCGGCTGTCACATAGAGCAAAATAAAGCACCGAGGTGGCTTTGTGCAGCGCAGACAGGTCCGGATGAGCAACCCAGATGCCCAAAACAGGGCTCTCACTGGAACACATGGGCCCAGAACCCAACCTTGCACCGTCCCTGTGTGGAACCTCAGTCAAGAACCCAACCCAACCCCCAGCCTCAGTTTCCACACCCGTAGAATGGACAGGAGTGACACCTTGCTGGTGGCTGTGGTCATGCAGAGAGAGATGCAGGCGAAGGGCCRGCCCAGGACCAGGCACAGGACACAGAGCAGCTTAAACACAGTAACAGCACCGAGGCCTGGCCACCCAAGGACATGCCCTGAACATGGCAAGGGCCAGGTTTGGCGGGGACGCCGCGAGAATCAGCCAACCCAGGCCTAGGCCCACTCCTGTGCTGCCCCGGTCACTCCGACCCCCCTCCCCACACACAGCACGTGACTATAGGTGCTGTCCTCGCGGGTCAGCACCAAGTCCTCCGTCCAGCACTGCACCCCTTTATTCCAACCCATGACAGGGCTTCCAGATCCAAACGCCCTCAGCAGCCAGGCAGGCATGTGATGTGGGAAACGAGGAGGGACGGGGACTGTGGTGGGCTAGAAGTGCACCGCGTCCAACCAGAGCCCACAGTGCCCGGCCACCAGGTCCTCACACCTGCAGAGGAAGAAGCATGTGTCCTCTCCCTGCGGGGGAAGGTGGCAGCTGGCTCTAGGCTCTCCAGGGACACCATGGGGGCTGAAGAGAGCTCAGCGGGCTCAGCCCTCCGCACGCCTTTGTAAGTGAAGGTTTATTGGTACCAGTCGCCCCTGCTCACCACGGCTGCTTTCACGCTGCACCAGCAGACCTGGGGAGCCCCCCAGGGTCAGCGCACTCCACAGTGCCACCGCCCAGCCAACCCCTTCCAGAAGGTCTCTGCCCGCCCTGTCTCCTGGCTCTCTCATCTGGTCCTGAGAGGCTCACAGAGAACCGCAGAGTTCTCAGCCGGGGACRGGTCAGCACATGGACGGCAGTGGCGGACCCCACGGGCCCCTGGAGTGCTGCCAGCTGCCTGGCCTGGCCGGGAGGGTCTGCTGCTTGTTCAGCCCAGCGCACGTGCTGACTGGCACCTGAACCCTCCTCCTCGGAGCATTTCCTAAAGACAGCCTGCAGTGGACACAGCTGCCTCTGACTCAGAGAAAGGCACAAGGACTCAAAACAACCATCAGCAAGGACAGCTCTGTCTTCCAGCCTCTGAGGGAGGACAGACCRCCAACTTAGCCCAGGGCCAGTATGGGCAATCACGGCTGGCACTGTGTCCACGCCACCAACCTTGGTGTTGGGTCCCCTCTCGGCCTCTGGAGTCCTGCGCTCCCCTCCCTCACGCTCCCTTCCCAATGCCCAGCCCCCTCTGCACACGTGTGAGGGCCTCAGCTCCCTCCCTCCRGCCAGTAGTTACCCCAGCTGTGTTTATCTTTGACAAGCCCCAGCCCGTACCAGCCCGTACCAGCCCGTAACTGGGGGTTTCCAAGAGCTGACCACCACCCCACCCGACCCGGCAAAGCCTCTTACCGGAGGGTGAACTGTTCTGCCACGGAGCCGCTGGTCAGAGAGACCAAAAAGGTGGCTGTGTCCCCTTCGCGGATGAGGTTCAGCGGGACGGAGAGGGCGACGTTCTGGTCCAGGTTCAGCAGGGACCAGCGCAGGTCGTCCTGAGTCGGGTAGACCACCACGCTGCCRATGCGCTCCCGGGCAGGGGGCGCCTGCGGGGGGCTGTCCTGGCCCAAGTGGATGTTGTTCTCCCACTTGCCCTCCTCTTCCAGGGGACACTGGCCCGCCGCGTCGGCTGGGTAGAGACTGAAGAAGAGCTCCATGGCCGTGCCCCCCAGCAGGGCCGGGATCTCCTCCTCGGGCTCCAGGTCCAGGCCGGAGCTGAACCACTCGGGCAGCAGCTCCAGCTCGGCCACGCACAGCCCAGGGGCCCCCTGCAGCCGGCAGCTAGCTGCCACCTCCCTGGCCTCCGGGAAGGCAAACATCTTGACGCAGGGCAGGTCCTCCCCCGGGTCACTGTCGTCCCAGGCCATGCCGGTGACGTAGAAGAGGGTCTGCACCTTGGGCCGGTTGGAGTAGATGGAGCTGTCGAGGATGTGGGGCTTCAGCTTCCAGTTGAAGGGGAACTTCTCCAGGTCCCCRAAGGCCGTGGGCGTCAGCAGGAGCTCCCGGGGCACCGGCCTCTCAGCGGAGAAGGGCCCGTAGCTGGCGTTGACCGAGGGCGGGCCCCGGGCGCGGTAGACGAAGAGGGACTCCACCCGGGCCTGCAGGCTGGCGTTGCGCGTCAGGTCCTGCCTGGCCTCCTTGAGGAAGAAGGACGCCTCGGCACCGGCGATGCGCAGGTCAGAGGGCAGGAAGGCCGGCAGCGAGGAGAACCTCTGCAGGCCGTCCACAGCTCCTCGGCCCGCGGCCACTGCGAGAAAGAGAGCAGACAAAGATGAGACCCTGTTCTGCCATGCGAGGAGATGACCCAACGCAGTCCCCCCCACCCCCGCCACCTATCAAGCTGCCCCTGGCCACAGGGAAAGCCTTGTAATTGCACACAGCGTGTTCTTCAGGACTGTCCCCAAACCCTGTGACGTGGGAAGGAGTCCYGATGGCCACTGACCCGTGGCCCTGAGGCACTCGGCTGCCTCCCCCAAGGGCAAGTGTTACTCCTCCCATCTTGATCTCGCAGAGAGAGCCCCACACCCAGGTACGGGGTCAACTTGGTGGCCCCTYACTGCAGAGCACGTGGCACCCACTACGCCCGCCACCCAAGCCGGCCCCACCCAGGTTCAAGACTTGGCAGCTCCTGCTTCTCTCCCCCCACCCCCGGGTGACAGGACTCAGACACAGAGATACATCCAGAGTCATCAAGAGGCTCGCAGAGCTCAGGCTCAGCATTTCCACTTCTAGGAATCCCTCCTTCTGAAACACTGGGGTGGGACGGGCGCGGAAAGCTTTCTCCACGGGGCCATTCCTGCCTCAGCTAGAACCGCGAACATACTGCAGAGCGTGCTGGAGCCGAAGCCGGGCCGTGAACCTGTGGCTGAGCAACCTGCCACAATGGCTGAACCTCTCTGTGCCTCAGAGGTCCTCACATAAAGGAGGATATAAAGGCAGCCCCTGGCTTCCTGGGCTGCAATGAGGATCGGTAAATAAGAAGCGCTGAGAGGGGTGCTGGCCTACGAAAATGACCATCAACATGTACTCGCTGTCATCACCACRTATCACAGTACCCAGACTAAGATGAGAGAGGCCTGAGGTTGTTACAAGGGTACAGACGGCTATGGACCAGGARGTAGTTATGTGAACATACTTAAAATAAAACACTGATATGCATGAGGGATGCCCACAGGGGTCATAAAAAACACGTTATAACTGGTCGTCACGACTGCTCGAGTGTGTCCCCCAGAAGTTCCTGTGCGGWACCTTCGCTCTCCCCAAGGCAGCGTTGGGCGGTGGAGCCTAATGGCAGGTACCTGGGTTGTGGGGGAAACTTGTAAACGATTCCCGCCTTCCCTGAGAAGGGGAGCGGGGTGTCTTTTCCTTCTCCAGGTGCACCTGCTTGCCCTTCCACGTCTGCCATGAATTATGGCAGTAGGAGGCCTGCTCCAGAAGCTGAGCAGGTGTTGGCACCAAGCTATGCTCTCAGAACCGTGGGCCAGAATAACCTCCAACCTTTATAATCACCCAGTCTCAGGTATTCTGCTATAGTAACAGAAAACAGACTGAGACAGTCCCATATGACCCTACTTGGGGAAACTTTTAAGTAAYGTATATGTGTATGTATTTAAATGCCCATGYACTTACATTTGGGTATCTGTGAAACCAAAAAGAGAAAGATTTTTGCTATTGATCATACGTATTTCTCCTTCCAATGTGTAACAGCAATCAAGTGTCGTTTGCTCATTGAAATGTATAAATCGTGCTCATAGACACGGCGTGTGGGCCTGTGTGCTGCTGGCGTGTTCCTTAGGCTGCACGTCTTTCAGATGGGAAAACACAGCGAAAGCCAGCGAGCTTTTTTAAAGGGAAGACAGCCCACCAGGAACCAGGGCACAAATCAGCCAGGAACACAGAGAGGTTTTTTTCCTCTTGCTCTGAAATAAACCTCGCCAATGGAGCCCAGGTTTCCAACCAACACAAGGAACCTGACAGCAGAGTCCAACCTGGGCCTCACCAGAGGCTGAAAGGGCAAGGGAATGCCACTCACCGCCCTCGGCCCAGTGCACGCTTCTCTGCAGCCATTACACACCCTACAAATGGATTTCTATTGATTGACGTAGTTTTCTTTCCCTTCTCAAAGAACTGTTTCTATTGAAATTTCCTTTCCTGGATGATGATGGAATTCTAAATAGGAGATGGTGAAAAGACCCAGGCAACTGGGGGTTGGTGCATCCCCTCCCCAGGGAGGCATCTGGAGGAGGGGTCTCAACAGCAGCATCACGGCCACCCCACGACATGTTAACTAGCAGAGGATGGTAGTTACTTGTTCATGAATCCAACTGTAGAGACCATCTGTTGACTCTGTCCCCAGYGCTATGGCTGTTGAGGACATCACAGAGACAAGGTAGACCTGCTTTCTGCCCCAGGAACTGGCGAACTTTGGAGAAAGATGCAGCTAACAATCAAAGCAATTAGGAAACTGAGGATCCAGACCCTTCACAAGGCCGCCTGCAGCAGCGTCCCCCTTCACCCCAAGGATTTGTTCTAAGTGGTCAGGAAGGACAGTCACACGCAAGGATGTTCGTCACTGGCAGGATCAGCAGSAGCAGGAAGCTCCCTAGGGACTGTCATTAGGGGAAGCCACGCCACAGACAGTTCAAGCCACCAAGACCCCAACGTTGACACATGTGCAGCCCCGAGAAAACCCRAGTGTGCTCCAGAGCAGGAAGAGGCCAAGGCCCCCCTCATGCRACCTCGGCCTGTCCACACACAGATCCCTCCCCACCTGCACGTGCCCCACCGGTCGGGCCGCACTGGGCTCACAGGCTCCAGGGAGAAACAACACAGAGGAATCAGCCGCATCCAAGGGGCAGCTTCAGGCTGCTGCTGCCACTGGGGAGACCTGGGTTSGACAGTGTCCAGCGAGGCAGCAGCACCCTCCCCAGCAAAGTTCAGGTCAGTTTGGGGGCTGCTTTCTCTCCCCTCTCCAAACCAGGAAGCCACATTCCCAGACTCCACCAGGATGACTGGCAGTAGGACCACGGTCCACGGGAGACGGCTGCTTGGGCAGCGTGACGCCATCGTCAGCCCACCAGAGCTGGACGAGAGGGTCCCATTTTACCTTCTCAAAAAATGTAAGGGAAGCCCGAGGCCGGGCTTCAGCTCTGATTTACTCCCAGGTGCGGGAAAGAAATTAAAGTAACTGCGAACCTCGCCACGCTCTGCTCCTGGGGACGGCTTCTTTCTCCCTTTATCTCTACGTAGGAACTGGACGCCTCTTGGACACTGATTTACCAGAGATCTAAGGCTGCACCTCCTCTTTACTGCCGCCAAAGCCCACGTCTTACCTGCAGAAGCAGGGGGCGTTGGGCTCCTGTTCCCTTGCAACTCAAGCCAAAGGCAACACAAATTGCGTCTGAAAGCGTCTACAGAGACCATAAGTGATGGATGCAGGGGGCCTTCCTGTGTCCTCACACCAGGCTGCAGGGAACGGGACGCCTTCATTCTGGGCCCCTGATGAGGCCCCACCTGTGGCCTGAGACACYGTGGCCCTCCCGCTGATCCCCAGGTGACATCTAGGAGCACATCCTCCTTCCCCTCAGCGGCAGACCCCGTGGCCTGTGTGCAGAGGGAAGTGAGTCCTAGACAACTGCTCACCCCTGGGGGCTGTCCACACTGATGGAGGGAGGGGGCCAGAAGCCCGAAGGCAGGAAGCCCCACCAGGAAGGACTCTCACTGCTGCCCTCAGGTAGCACTCTGCTGGAGGCAGAGTGGGGTCAGGTCCAGAGAGATGGGGAGGGCCCAGGCAGAGGCTCCACAGGTAGAGGGGACTGACTCAGGACAGCAGTGACAGATGGCCCCAAGGAGCCCCAGAGAGAGCACAGGGCAGGCAGGGGCTGGTGACCCCTGGAGTAAGCTGGGAATCCTGGCAAGGACAGGGTGACCCCCAGTGAGAGGACTGTTCACCCTGCGGGCACACAGAGCACTCCCCTGGGTCAGGACTGGGGGACCCTCAGGCCTCAACCCAGATGGCACAGCRTGGACCTGCTACAACCCTCAGACTCAGAACTCAGGCCCTTTCCCTGGTATCGCCAACCCCACCCAGAAATGAAGTCACCAGTTGTGAGGCCACCAATACCCGGCCAGGGACAGGGCAGCTGCAGCCGAGATTCTTTCTCCAGTTCACACAACTTGGACCTGGAGAACCAGGCACAGTGGCTCCCTCCAGGGGCCAGAGGGCAGGTCTTTGAAGACCACTGATCTGTCCAAGGGTGGCCCTGACTAGCTGCTGGCAATCCACAGCCACCTGCGGAGCCCAGGTACAGCTGTGACCCTCAGTGCCTCCGGGTCGGGAGGCCCAGGTCTGGCAGGAAGCCTCGGCAGGTGGTGCAGGAACTTCTCCAGGGCGAAGACCTGGACTAGAGGACTCCTGTGCTCCCCAACCCCGGGTTCCCCTTCTCCGCAGCCCGCTCAGCCCGGTCATCTCACCCTCCTCCAGTCCTCTGCCCTCACTGGGTAGCTCCTCCACACAGCACGGAGCAGCCCCTTCCTCAGCCGGGAGCCCGGGACTCCAGCCCTCCCCCAAGCCCTCTGCCTCATGGGGAACTGACCTCCCCCTCCCCACTCTGCAGTACGTCCAGCCAAAGGGAGGCTCCGGTAGGAGGACTAGAGCGTGGAGACTGGGAGAGCCAGGGCACGTCTTCCTGTCCTCTCCCTGTCTGCTCGATGACTTCTGCMCCCACAGTGCTCGGTCCTGGTCCCAGGTTCCCATAGCGGGGACCGTGGTACCCAGCTTACTGCTGAGTCTCTGGTCCCTCCTAGTAGAGCAAGTTAAACAAATGCTCATGGAATGGATATCCACCAAGTACAACTGCTTGGGTTCCATGCTCCAGAGAATAGATCTCCCGTGTTCCCTCCCAGTCTCTCTGGCTTCCTCTGGGGGTTGTGAACACTAACACACTCCACGCCATTCATCTTCCTCTCCACCGTCACGTCACTGGGTGCCAGGCTGGCAGCTGGTTTTGCCAAACAAGGTACTGCGATTTCCATGTGGCAAGAGAAGATATCAATTAAAGGAGAAGCAGGCTACTGAGGTGCCAGCACACCCGGGTCCACGTACCTGCCAAGTCGGGGACCCTCACGACAGTCTGAGATGAGCAGTCTCAAAACTGCCTTGGAAAAATGATAGAGCTAAGCCACAGAGAAGTTCAGCCATCTGAACACGGTCAGTTCCTTCCACCTCCACTTTCCAGCTCTGTCCACTGCCTGAGGTCCTCCTGGCCCGGTGAATCTACAGTGAAGGAGCCGGAGCTCAGAGCCCAAGGCCAAGTTCATGGACCATGCGCCAGCYGGGAGGTTTCACTGTTCTACAACCACAGCTGGCTGTGTCCCCCATCCCAAGTGCCCACTGTCAACCTGGATCTCCAGGTGGTTCAGGAGGATAGGTGTGTCTGACCCAGGGCATCTCAGCACAGCTGCTGCAAAGAGCCAGTGACCAGACCTTCAAGGCAGGGGTGAGTGTGGGAAAACACTGCCACCCGGAAGCACCTTGCAAGTCCCAGAGCCTCCGGAGGAACCACAATGCAGCAATGCRGACCAGAGGCCAGCTGCAGGCCACCCTGCATGGTGAATGGCCAGCTGTGTGGGTGGGTGCCCCTGCCCCAGGTGGCATCCCTTACTGCACCCAGGGCCAGGTCCTTCCACATCTCAGCACTGGAAACACTCATTACAGAAGCAAAAAGGGGGAAATGTCAAATACTCAACCACTGAATTCAAGTGCCACCAGTTTGTAAAATAAAATAGAAGAAGTCAGGTAAGTGTCTGCCTTCTCCAGCCAGATGGAACCCAGGCCAGGCAGAGAGAAGGCAGGGCCACTCGGCCGACCAGCACCAGCGCTAGTGCCTGCAGTCAGCAGGAAGGGCGACCCTGCCTTCATCCCAGGATCAGCCTTCTCGGCCCTCAGGCTGGGCGGCCTGGGCCGCCAACTGGGGCTCCACAGGAACAGGAAGAGGAGGAGACAGGAAGTAGCTAAGATGGAAGCAGACAGGAAGTCATCAGGAAGAAAAAGGGAGGAGCACGTCCCTGCTCCCAGCTCATGGGACCCTGGCTTCCTCCACTGGCAGGGCTCACGGGAGAACAGTGGGCCACAGAAAAGGGGGTGCAGAGTCCTGGCCCTGCATCGTACATCAGAGAAAAGAGGGCATGTTGGAGCTAAGAGCCAAARCTTAATAACAGGCACATGGCCGCCGACAGGAGGGGACATGGGGATGTGGAAGGTTTAAGTCACCCGACTAGTGAAGGGTGGTTTCAGAGCCAGATCCTGCAGACCCGCTGGCTGGACTCTGCAGCTAGGCCGTGGCTCAGRGGACTTGGACACTTTATCAGGTGCCCGGTTTCCACCCTCTCCAGGTCAYCGACTGCTCTCCTCAGTCATTTATGAGGCACGCTTCACCTCAATAGTGAGGTTGTTGTCCCACATGGCTAGCTGCTGTCCCCCAGCTGTGTGTGTGGCTTTACCTTCCCCTGAGCTGATTCCTGGGGCTCTGATTGTGTCATGAATCTGGCCACCTGCGGGGCCCACCTGCTGGCCGGTCATCAAGTTCCCTTGCTCTGCAGGCAAATGCGCACACAGATGCACCACGGCTGAGGGCAGCACTGAGGACGTGGTCACAGTGACCACAAAAGAGCTKGGGACTGTGTGGGGCTCCCTCCCCAAAATCCAGAAGTTACCACCTACAGGCCCGCAGAGCCCAGCTGTGGGGGGCCAGGGACTCTGAAGAGGAAACCAAGTTAATACTTGGTGTCCTTATAAACAGAGGGATATGAGGACATACACACACACGGGAGACCGTGTGAGGACCCGGGAGGTGCAGCCCCCAGAAACCAAGCAGGGGCCGCCAAAGGACCAGCCTCCAAACTCTGAGGAACAACTTCTGCGTGGAAGTCCCCCTGTCGGTGGCCTTGGGGACAGCAGCCCTAGCAGGCCAACAGAGGGACTGCTGTTCAGCACACTGGGCTGGCCTGTCTGTTTTCCAAGTCAACTTAGAATCATGTGTCCAGTTGCCCAGGTCAAAACCCTCATGCGCCCTGCTGGTGGTGAGGCCTGTACACTGGGGTGGCAGCGCCCTCAACCCCGGCGGCAGGCTCCCTGTCAAGTGTGTTCGAGTTTCCAGAGGGAGCAGGTGTTGTGTTCCATCCAGACACGGCAACACGTSCCCTCTGTAAAGCAAGACCTGGAGCGCAGCTCACGCCGCAGGCTGACCATGGGGTCCCCTTGAATGCACAGACACAGCAAGGGGGAGACCGGGGACTAGAGCATGAGGGTAGGGGGCGGGCRGGTCAGAGTTCCAACCATCAGGGGCAAGAGGGAAGCAGGTGGGTGCGTGTTGGGGGACAGGCAGTGGAGGACACCTCGGGCACGAACACTGGGCATGCTGCAGAGTCCAGAGGCTGCTCTGCCGCTGGCCCCAGAGGGGCTCCTGACTCACCATGGGCACATACTGTGAGGCCAGGAGTGAGTCGAGGGGGTGACAGCAAGGGCACTGGTTATATCCTATAGATGGGACCCCCTCTCCAGGCAGAACCCCTCCAGTGCCCACTTCCAGAGCAAAAGGCAAGATAGTTGGTATTTATCCCCAGTAGCCTTGCCAAAAATAATAATAGATTATTCCCTAAGAACACTGAAATAACCCTCTGGAAAAATACGAGGTACCCAAGTGCAGATGCTGATGCTCCATCCTGAGAGGGATGGAGGTAATACAGCCATGGTGTGACCATGAGGACCAGAATTACATGCTAAGAACACAATGCAGGAAGTCAGAGGAGCTAGCCCCAGCGTGAGACGAAAAGCAAAAGAAAGTCCTGCTTGGCTGAGCTACTGTGGCCAAGGATTCTGTCACTTATAGACAAATGCAATCCTTAAAAAAAAAAAAAAAAAAAAAAAAAAAACAGAAGGCATGCAAATCAGCTAATCCTCATCTACATTTTTAACTCAAATGCTTGAGGTAGCACATGGTGTTCTAGAAGTGATCACAGAAAACTGGAGGCTTTGGGGAGGGCGGTGGAGGCCGTAGTGCAATGGA